GATTTCCAACGGACATTTTTCACCTATATATATGTTGAGATATAGGTTACAAGCTCATTTCAAAATTATTTTGAAAATAAATGAGGTATTGTCTGCACAACTAAAACGAAAGTCTATGATCGTAATATCGAACCCTTTTTTTTTTTAGCAAAGATATTAATCACCCTTAGTGATTTTTTAGGCTTCACCAAGAAAAGTTGCTGAGAGTTAGGATTTTCCAATCATTTACATATCATCAAAAAAATGAGAATACAGAAAAGAGGCAGACATAAACCTGACCTCCAGAAAACAACAAAGCAACAAATATAGTGAAAGCAGTAAATGAAGAGTACTACTCCCTGTACAATGCAAGCAAATGAGTCATAAACCATAAATCTATATGGTTGGCAATCAATCCATATACAAAGAGGATGAACACCCCATCGACAACCCTAACGAAGGATTTTCTTTCGGTGGAGGACCTACTTTCAACCTCGCCACGAGCGGCCACCACCAAGCCTATGTCCTTATCCATGTTTCTTTACAATTTTGCTTTAAGAGAAAAAATAAATTTCTAATTTCTCTCATTATACTCGGGATGGATAGGGACACACTTACCAATATCTTACTTAAATAACGACGTGTTTGAAGATCTTGTTGCCACTTTGACAAGGTGAGATTGCATATATGAGCTTGGAGATTAATTCCTTGTTTGGTGAAGATTAAAATTAGATTTTTAAAAGTTTTTTTTATAAAAATTAATGAAATGTGTGGTTTGAATGTAGTGAATCCCACGAGATATGTTGTTGAAATTAATATTGAATTTTACTTTAATAAAAAATTAGATCATAATTTAAACTAAATATGGCTTAAAAGTTTTTTCTCTAGATTCATTCTTCACATCTCTATGTTCTTTTTATTTTTTTTCTTTTTATTATTATTTTTCACTCATACACTCATCTACTGATGATCACGTTGGAGTGGAATTGAAGAACTGAAAAAGGTATCTTGTTACCATAGTTATGAAATTGATCGAATGAAGAAGTGGTTTATCGAGTCAATGATTCAATCGTTAGATTGATGGTTGAACCTTTGCGTCGATTTTGATTTAATATTTCCTTAATTATTTTTAAATATTTTTGAAACAATAACATCAACTACGTGTAATAGTGAACATCAAAAACATTTCATAACAAAAAAGTAACCAAACATCAAGTTAAATGAAACACAATTTCATTACTCAGAAGTCAAAACAATGTACTTGTAATGAAAATAAGCATAGGAGAGCTAAAGAAAAGAGGTTGAGAGATGGAGACCACAATGGAAAAATTTAAACCGTAGACGACCATAGTTGAAAATGAACCGGTTTGTTTAGTCAAAATATATATTTTCAATTATGTTTATAATCTTGAGCAAGAGATACGTAATTTAAAAGTGACATTACTATTAAACTTATTTAATCACTGATTTCGAGTCATCGAATAGATCGATTTTTACCTTGTTAATTTGATTTTGGTGGGGGTCAATGTCTTGATTTTATGCACCTAGAATGTTCGAAAACTACTAATATTTAAAAATGTTTTATTATGTCAATTCATATTGGTGAAAGCAAATTATATGCCTCTTTTGCTTTCATAATCAAATACACAATTAATAAGATAAATGTGTCCTCTTTATAATGAAGTAGTTGGGGCCCACCTAACCAAAGTAGACCACCTTTCATGTGTTTCTTGAATAAACCCTAGCTTACAATTGATTTTTCAGTCATTCAATTTATATCGAAAATTGTTTCACAAAAACACACCAGAAATCTCATATTATGTAGGTTCCACATGTTATGATAAAAAATGTCAAAAAATACCCATCCCCAATGTTGTGTCTGTTCGGTGAAACTGTACACACAGCAATGCTCTTGGGTTTTTTGCCCAAAATAAATTTATATTTTGTTTGAAAATAACTACGGAAATTGAATAATCATTATATGAACTTTACGTTTGAGGATCTTTTTATTTTGGATCATGCTATCTTTTATCTATTTTGTAGAGTTCAAGATAAAAACGAAATTAAGAACAATAAAATGAATTTAGCACAAGACGTGAACTTCATAAGTATAAAAGGACTACATGAGGAAATAAATGAACCTCTATTTCTAATAAAGCTAAAAAATTTGTCAGATATGGTTTCAGATCGCTTTCTGATAAGTGTAGTTTATACACTTATTTAAGGTCTTAAAACGATGATATTTAGTTGCTTCACGAATGAATTATGGTCTAAATTGTTGCATTTGGTGTTGAATAGGTAAAATTCAATGATGGTATAAGAAATTGGAAGAAACAAGAGGAAAACCCGAAAAAAGAGCAAGATCCAAAGTTCGGGGATCAAAATGTAAATATTCAAAAGTTGTGTAGGACTTCATGATGAAGATTCAAGAGTACCGGAGTCAATTGAATAATGAAAGACATCAAAGGGATTAAATATAACAAAAGTATGATTACACATCAAGTTCAAACAAAAAAAAAAAAAGTTATGCGTCATTTTCAATTTCATATTTGGACCAGGTTTTGACATAGAATAATCGAATTTAAAAATGATTGTTAAGATTCGAATCATGTTCTCATCACTTATAAAAGTGTAATTCCAAAGATTGTGAAGAAATCGTGTTTCTGATTAAACACTTTTGTAAATGGATGCATTAACAGAATTGAAACACGTGGCTGTGTGATGACCGTTGGATGAGCTTCCAGATGCTTCCATCTTTAAGTACACTAAACGTGACCTTTGAGCTCATTTTTTTGGAGCTATTTTTTGGGTTTTCTGTTCGTCTCTCAAACTCTCTCTCGTCTCTTCATGAGAATCCCTCATTCTTTGTGATTAGGGTTTGAGCTCTTCGAGTGTTCCAGTGATAAAATTATAGAGAAGAGTCTGTGACATAGTAGATCTATTCACTGCTGTGTTGTGTTGTTTGGCTACAAGAACCTTAGTGGTTCATGAAAGGCAGTAGGGTTTTGGGCGGATCTGAGTGATCTCGCATGTGTGCTTGGTGAAGTGTGATCTATTTCGTGGTTCTCTTGAAAATATAAGTTTTCGTGTTTTGGTGCTGTAAATTTTTGGAATTGTTGTATATTCTTGTTGTCGATTTTTGGCTTATAGTGCAACTAAGATTTATCCATTTATAATGGATGTTCAACAGGGGATTAGACGTTAGAAAGCAGTCGTCGAACCTCTGGGGCTACGGTTGAAAAAATCCTTGTGTTTATCTTTTATTTTTGCACTTTTATTTCTACTATTGAATATTTGATTGTTGAATCTTGGTTAATCTTGAATGTTTTCTCGTACTTTCAATGGTATATAAAGTTAACTCAAAGAGTTACAACTTTAGTTCAGATATCATTTTTAAATTCGATCATTTTCTATGTCAAAATCGGGTTCTAATATGAGGCTAAAAATGGTGCATAACTTTGTTTTGGTTTAAACTTGATGTGTGATCATACTTTGATTATATTTGATCCCTTTTTTTTTCTTTTTCTTTTTTTTTCTTTTTTTTTTGCATTTTCTCCATTAAGTTTTCTAAATGACCCTATCGTAGGGCCAATGACTCCTAAGTCAGATGACTTTACGACACCAGGTTTTTAAATATCCTTTCAGACTTAATTACTCGAGTTATGAAGATTTCAAAGAGAATTTTTTAAATTTCAAATGTATATGCCTGATTAGTACAATACCCATTTCGCATACTTATTCAAACAAATCGACCTCCAACTTAAGACTCTCGTCTTGTTTTGTCATGTTAGTTTAAGACAATGCACATATAAGTTTAAGACAATGCACACATCCGCATCTTCCTACAACTGTAAAGTTACCTCCAAACAGTGCTAAATTTGGTTTAAGGATAAATAATTTACTATAGTTTAGGTAAAATATCTATATCCAACTAAATCAACCTATCTAACAAATGAATCAACTTGTTTCATCACAGCGTCAGACTCAATTCTAGTGTACATATAATATCAAGTTTTACAATGTTAAGTTTCAATCAATATAGCATGCATCATATCCAGAGTTCATAAATCAACACCAAATCTCAAAGTAAAACGTAATTATAAGCCAAAATGTCGAACTCACACAAAAATTTCAGTCAGGCAATTAGGCAATTAATGATAATACGCTTTCCTTTTATTTATTTATTTATTTTTCTCATTTTGGCGCTGGATATAGAAATCGTCTGAATCCCTACTAAAAAATTAAAACACGAAAGCAAACTTTTAATTCTTACTAAAATCCAATCTTATCAACAATTGAAATACCAAGGTGATAAAAATTTGTGATTAGTTGATTTTTTAAAAAAAAAAAATAGTTTAACTTAATTTTAGCCCTATTTGATGGCCAATATTTTAAGAAAATAGAGTTTTGAATAGTGTTTTTTTTAAGAATATGTGATTAAAAAAAGAAAAAAGTTTTAAATTTATGTACAAAATATTTTATTGTATAAATGTGCGATTGAAAATTAATATGAGAATTAAAATTTTTTGAATTTTTTTGAAATTATGATTGGCAACAGGGGCTCAGCATCGTATCCTACAAATTTTGCATCGATCAGATAAAATTAAAAAATTAATTACGTATGCAACAATAAACAACGTCTTTGTTCGTCATATTGATAACTCCAATTTCATTGACTATGTGACATACATATGAAAAATGATTATTCAATATGGTAATTTTTTATTAACTCATTCAATATCACGTAAGACAATTATCGTAATGAACCATCACGAATAAAATTATTCATATTATCTAATATAGGATAAGAAATAGATCAATTACAAAGATAATGGCGTTTTTGTAATTTTAATTTGACATGTGTCGAGATCAGACGGACTTAATATTGCGAAAAATTTCACAGCCCTGTCGTTTAATCAAAACCCGGACGTCGGATTAATCCATTTTTTCAAAAAGCCACGTGGCAGTCCAATTATAGTCAATAAACCGCCATATCTGTATAAAAACCCCCCAATTCATAGTTTATCCTAAGCTAAAAACTAGTTGTTCAACAAATTACACATATTCACACACCAAAATACCAACATTTCACCACCGGCGGTAGAAAACTCGCCGGAAAAGAACATTCCGATGTACCTTGCTTCACTTATGCAATGCACGTATCTATGATCATAGAGGATCTTCATTTTCTTTTTCTTTGGAGTAAATATTAGTGTGAAATATTTGGCTTTTTAGTAGTGATCGTTTGGGGAATTGAGTCATTGACATTGAAGTCTATGCTTTTGAAGAATTTTTGTGATTTTCGTTTTTTTGAGGTTTTGATTTTAACTATTTTGCACGCAAAGCGAGTGAGCTCTGAAAATTCAACTGACAGCACAGAGTATAATTAGGCAGTGTGGCTTTTTAAGAAAATGCCTTTTCCGATGAGAATTCAACCGATAGATTTACAGCTTTACAGTGAATCGCTAATCCGGAACGATGCGGTGAAGCCACCGGTGTTGAAATCGAGGCTGAAGCGTATCTTCGACCGGCAGTTCAACAGTGTTCTCAGGATTTCAGCGGCTGAGAAGCCGAGCGCCGGCGGAGAAAAAGATAGAGGGGTTCCCACCTCCGCCGCGGTGGCTGAGTTTGAGCCGAGCTCGATATGTCTGGATAAGATGGTTCAGAACTTCATTGAAGATAACGAGAAGCAATCAGCATCCGTCGCCGCAAAATACGGCCTTAACCGCTGCAATTGCTTCAACGGTAACAACAATGACAGCTCCGATGATGAGTTTGATTTCTTTGACTCCAACACTCCAGGTTCTTCTTTCAGTGACCCTTCCGATACTCTCAAGGTACCAAAAATTCTGCATCAATCTTCCGTTTCTCACTTTTTGGTCAAAATTGTTGGTTAACCTAAGTTTTCTATTGATGATTATTGCAGAGTTTGATTCCTTGTGCTAGTGTGGAGGAGCGAAACCTGTTAGCAGACACTTCAAAAATGGTAGATAACAGCAAATTTTGCAAACAGAAGGACGATTTGAGAAAAATCGTCTCCGAGGGTTTAATAGGCCTAGGTTACAACGCCTCCATTTGTAAATCTAAATGGGAAAAATCATCATCCATTCCTGCTGGTACGTGATCGATCAACTCATAGTCGATGAATTATGATTGATTCCATCTAGTAATTTCAAGTAGGATTAATTTAATCTCTTGCGTTTATAGGTGAATATGAGTATATAGACGTGATTATAGAGGGCGAGAGGCTGTTAATCGACATAGATTTCCGATCGGAGTTCGAAATCGCACGATCAACAAGCAGTTACAAGGGAATTCTACAATCTGTGCCGTATATTTTCGTTGGAAAATCCGATCGGCTTCTCCAAATTGTTTCCATTATATCGGAGGCTGCACGGCAGAGCCTAAAAAAGAAAGGGATGCATATAGCCCCGTGGCGGAAGGCCGAATATATGACATCCAAATGGCTCGCCCCGTCTACCCGTATCACCTCTCTCACGGTCGAGGAGCCGTCCGAAGTTGGAGAGTTGGATTTGATCTTCGGTGAAGAGACGGCTTCGTCGGAGGCGAACTGCCCCTTCCAGGTTCAATCGAAGATCACCTGGCAGCCGCCCGCGGTGCAGGTGAGGAGGGCAAACAAAGGAACGATCACTGGATTGGCAGCCCTTCTCAAGGAGAAACTCTAAATGATCTGATGTTTGCTTATTTTATTTTATTTTGGTAGTATTCGCTGACTTGAGAAGCTGTTAAAAAGTTACTTTTAAGTCGATAATCCGATAAATCGTGTTGTAAATAACTAATTATATAGAATTTGTAATGAAAGATTTTGTTTTTATATGAACTTTTTGAAGTTTTGGGTACACTTTCCCCGTTCTTTATTTTTTAAGATTGGGGCCAAAAATCCTAGTAGGCAATGTTTTGGATACATTTCTGATTTCCCCCCTCCTTTATCCATTTGTTTATGAGGAAACAGATTGGGATGACAAATTATTTGTGTTTTATTAGAAATTTGGTTATGGGTTTTAATGTTTTTGGGGAAGTGTAAACTATTCAAGGAAAATGGTGGGATGAAGAGAGTTATAGCAGGAAGCTCGTGCCATTTTGAAATCCGTGAAGGTCATTATGGTAACGAGATATTCACTTGCTGGGTTTTGTAAAATATGGATTTATTTATGAATTCTTGCTCTTTGATCTTTTGCCATGTTTGGTAATTGAAGAATAGGAAAAAAGGAATTAAGATTTCTTACAGTTCAAAAGAGGAATTTAGGGATAAAACTATGGTTTGTGGTCTATTTCACTTCGAAAATGAAATAAATTGTTCTTTTAAGTTAGTATTATTATATTTGGAGTGAATGGAGATAATGGTTGTAATGTGGAGATCGATGAAAAGGAAATGTAAACATTTTTAGAAAAACTTTTAGAAGGCTAAGAGTGAGATAAATCTTTTGGAATCGTATCTTATATGAATTTGTTGGTAGGTCATATTATTTTAAAAGTACTTTAAGCTTCATCAGAATTTGCTAAAATAAAACCTATCGTGACTTAAATTTATTTAAAAAGTCAAGTCCAAACTTGTTCACCAATAGAATTACTATTTTGCTTATGTGACTTGCGTACAACCGAGAAAATTATTTATCAAGCCTTTAGGAGCCTCGATACGGAGTTGTTTTTGCTTTCGCTTTCGAAATTATTTAGTTCTACGTTTTTGGTTGTGTCCCTAATGCATTTAACAAATCTCTGCACACTTCCCCTTAATAGAAATTCCAACGCACATCAATAAGTCATGGAAAGCTTTTAAAACCCTTTTTTGTTTTATATTTTTTGCATTTTAATTTGGCTACTTTCGATCAACTATGGAGTTCATGTTTCGTAGATCGTGAAAAACTCATGCTTAACTGCGACTATTTCATTATAATATTTCTCATTCCTATAGTTAAGACCTCATAGATTTCTCACGACTATAAAATAACGTATAACGTTATTATGTCACACGTAACACACTAACGAATCTTTTGATTTTGCATTGGTTGTGGGAAGCTCGTGAAAGCCCTTTTCTTTGCATTTTACTGTGGTTTTGGTTGATTACCTTTTGTGTGCTTTGCAGAGTTGTACATTGACCGGACGAGTGGGAATGGGTAAAACTTGACTTCCCTGGCAAAGAATATTGACTTTCTTGGGCTTGTACATATACTGTTTTTTGACTTATTCTGTCAATTAATAAAATTAGATAATCACCTAACAAATATGTAATTATTTTCAGCTCTTTCCATTTTTTTAATTCTATTATTCTATATATATATATTTCATTTTCATTCGCCAAAAATCATTCTGAATACAATCAGTTGCCAACTACCCTATTTTATATTTTCGATTATTGTTTATGAGATTTATTTAATAATTATTTATAATTTAAAAGATTTTAATATATTTCACAATCATTGTTGTGGGGATTTAGTAATCCATTATGTTGCTTATATTTTATTCTCTGATACAGAAAGTGGGTAGTGCCATATTATTAAAATTAGAAGTTGTGGGGTCACTTTCTCTATTTTTTTGTAGTGGCATGTGGGGTCCCTTTAGAAAGCAACCCCAAACCTACTCAGTGTCTTTCTCTATATATTTGCAAAATTGGTCCCGACTTATTGCAAGTTGGTCTCAACCTTTTACAATTATATTGTAATATTAATCTTTATTCATGAAAATTATTCAAATCTTCGTCAAAATGTAAGATGGTCCTCGTAGAAATAAAACTCACTCTAAATATTTCGAAGATGGTCCTAGTAGAAATATGACCGCTTCAAATCTTTTGACACCAACTTTGCCCACGTTGAGAAACAAATCTAGCTTCGTAAAAATAAACATGAAAGATTCACTAGATGATTAAACATAGTTCAAGATAGATTCGTCATTAGAGACTAGTCATGGACTATAATAAAATGTTGATGATTAATTTGCTCTTTTACAAACATCAAATATCAACTCGACAAAGAGTGCAATAAATACATAAGTATATGTTAGTTGGGCGTAATTTGTATTGGTATTGAGATTTGCTCGTGCAGTGCAAATTTGATTCCAAGAAAAGGTTGCCGAGGTCACAAGACATAGAAAAGCTAAAATAGTTACACCCTAATTTCAAGAATAGTGGAATTGCATTATGGGACTTTTAAATTCCTTTAATCAGCATATAGAAAGAGGAATGTGCCCTTTTGAAGGAGTCGAGTAATCGAATGAAAATGCTATGTGCACACCTTGAGGTGTACATATAACTTTACACCCCCCTTACATGAAGGGAGCCCACGGAGGCCCTTCATACGAGAGGAGTGTAAGGTTGTGTATAAATGATTATGTACACGTAGAATTGTCCAAATTATAATGAGTAGTTTTATCTATTATTAGGGATGATTATCATATTAAATGATATTGGACACTCTGATTCAATATCTAATGGAATTGTGATTTATTTTAATGCATTAAACAATGAATCTAATGTTCCAGTGTTACTTAAATTGGTGATAATCATAGATAATAGATAGCATTATTCAATTGAAAAAGTTTGAAAGAACCCATTTTACAAAACCTTTATCCAATCAATTTTACCATTTTCTTGCCACGCGTAATTCACTCTTTTTTTTTTTTATTTTTTCATTTTTTGTTCTCAATAAGTAATGTTTGAAGAGGATAATTAATGTTGTTGAAGATCTAGTTACTTTAATTTTAAGTAAATGTAGTGATAAATTGAACCAGATGCCACAAAATAATTTTTGTAATAAAACTCAATGTCTTATCCTGTCTTTATTTAGTATCAAAGTTCTCATATGACATATCTATCCACCGGTCATAACGGTTGGATAACATGTGGGTCAGTCTTGGTGATTTAAAATTTTCTTGCTGAATTTGATTTCTTAGTTATCTTATGTATAGTCATATTATTATGGATTTCTCTCCTTGCACAGAACCCTGTGCACAGGGTTCTGTGCAAGTAGCACGGCCCTATTATTATTATTATTATTATTATTATTATTATTATTATTATTATTATTATTATTATTATTGTTATTGTTTTGCAAGTATATGAGCTACTTCAATTTTGTTTTCATTAATGATCTAAATATTTAATATGAGTTTGATATCTTATATTGGCTAATTTACTCGTAAAATTTTAATTTATACAAAAATAATCTAATCTAGTATTGAATACAGAATAATAATACGATAAACAGAATCATAATCTTTAAACGTGTCAAATAAAATGGATAAAAATTTATAAATAAATCAGAGTGATCTTATAAAGAACAACAATTGTTGTATTCAATAACAAAGAAAAACAATAAAAATAAGTATTTAACATATATATTTACATTTCCTTCTTAGTTTCTATGAGAGGTTAAATGGATATTATTAT